CCTTGCCGCCCCGGCCCGCGCGGAGCCCGCACCTGCACCTCCGCCATCTTCGGCAGCCGCCTGGGAAAGGAGGAGGTCTTGTCGCAGGGTTTCTTATCCCTTGAAACAGGGGCGGCAGAAGTGACGCAACGCGGACTGCGCGAACAGCTTTCTGTGTTTTCATTGGTCAAAGCGTTCTGCGCGTGCGCAGAGATTCCCCAGAGAAGGCGGGTCCTCTTCCGAATGTCCAATCCGGACATTCTTCCGGTTGGACCCTTCGCAGTCCGCGCTGTGCCCTGCGAGAGATCACGTGGGGCGTCGAGGCGGTGCTGCTGGGGCGCTGCCGTCCAGCCTCGGCGGCCATGTTTTTGAGAGGCTGTTCATCTCGTTCAGACGCCCTGTCCGCCATGTTTGTGAGGGGAAGCGGCATTACCCTTTCAAGCGACTGAAGGCTGCAGGGCTTCTGGTGGCCCGCAGGGGGAGACCAGACCCGCCAGGCCCGCCCTTCCGCGCACAGTTCAGGCTTACTTTATTTTCTGAGACAGGATGTCGCTCTGTCGTCCAGGCCGGAGTGCAGTGGGGCGATCCTGGCTCACCGCAGCCTCGACTTCCTGGGCTCAAGGGATATATATATATTTATTTATTTGTTGTTGTTGTTGTTGTGGCCCGGGCTTGGGGGGAGTCTTGACATGTTTGGCCAGGCTGGTCTCGAATTCCTGGGCTCAAGCGATCCTCCCGTTTCAGCCTCCCAAAGTGCTGGGATTAGCGGCGTGAGCCCCGGCGTCCTGCCCATTCTAGGCTTGGAGATTAGGATTCTTGTGTCTGGTCGACTTCACTGACCTGGACAAACCCCTGGCCTTATCCGGGCCTCAGTTTCTCCTTCTGTAAAACAGGTGGAGGTGGTCTTCTCCAGGGGCTCTAAGAGTGGATGAAGGAATGGCTTCTAGATGCCTGGCTGCACCAATCCGCTGAGCGTTCCTCAGAGGAACTTCTCACTTTCTGGACTGTCGGCCTTTGCTTCAGTTGGGTCCCTTGCCCAGGATGCCCTCCCCAACCCCTCCAAATCTGGCTTGTCACCATCGCAATGCCCTTTGGCTCTGGAAAGCCTCTTTGATGTTCCAACCTGGGTGAGCTGCCCTCCGCGGGCTCTCACACTGCCTCTGTGCTATCTCCATAGGAGCCTATGGCATCCTGCACCCAGGCTCGCTGAGTCCCTTGTCTTCTGGTCCATAGCCTAGGAGACCTGGGGCGACTGGGCTGGTTCTGACTCAAATCCGGGCTCTGGCATTGCCCAGTGCTGGCCCGGGGCTTCAGGGGACTTCAGAAAACACGTATTGAATGAAACATTGCATTGCAACTGAAAAACCAAGATTCTGAAATCAGAACGACCCCATTCACACCCATCCACAGACAGACTTGGCCAGAGCTGGTAGAAAAGGATGATTTATATACAATTTCATGGGGACAAGGGCTTTGTACAGAGTTGGGTAAGTGGGGCCGGTGCTGCGTTCTGGTGTTGCCTCCATCCTGGGGAGGGAATGAGAGGGGTATTGGGCCCAAGGAAGGGACCGGCCTCTAGCCCACTTCCTCTGTGTGCCGGCTATGCATCCTCTGGCTGGTGACTCCCCTCTGTGTGCCTCAGTGTCCTCCCCTGTAAAATGGGATGATAGATGTGTCTGTCTCACTGGGTTGTTTAGGATCCGCTGACAGAGGAGACGGAAAGAAACAGCTCAGGGCGGGGCACAGATTATTCCCAAAACACCACCATTCCCAGCAAGCGCTTACTGTGTGCTAGGGCATTGCTGTCCAAGAGAACGTGGCCATGACAGAAATGTTCTCGGATGGGCGCGGTGGCTCACGCCTGTAATCCCAGCACTTTGGGAGGCCAAGGCAGGCAGATCAAGAGGTCAGGAGATCGAGATCATCCTGGCTAACGCGGTGAAACCCCAAACCCCGTCTCTACTAAAAAGAATTAGCCGGGCGTGGTGGCAGGCGCCTGTTGTCCCAGCTACTTGGGAAGCTGAGGCAGGAGAATCGCTTGAACCTGGGAGGCGGAGGTTGCAGTGAACCGAGATCGCGCCACTGTACTCCAGCCTGGGTGACAGAGACTCCGTCTCAAAGAAGAAATGTTCTCTACTTTTGCCTGGGCACGGTGGCTCACACCTATAATCCCAGCACTTTGAGAGGCCGAGGTGGGTGGATCAACTGAGGTTGGGAGTTTGAGACTAGCCTGACCAACATGGAGAAACCTCATCTCTACTAAAAATACAAAATTAGGGCCAGGCAAGGTGGCTCACACCTGTAATCCCAGCACTTGGGGAGGTTGAGGCGGGTGGATCACCCGAGGTCGGGAGTTCGAGACCAGCCTGACCAACATGGAGAAACCCCATTTCTACTAAAA